GCTTGTTCCTGGGCTTCTACTGCTGCTCCACGGTTTTCTAGAAGGCTTTGAAGTTTCGCAATGAGCTCTTCATTGCTGGCAGACGTTTCCATCATTTTTAGTATGGATAGCCTGAGTTCATCTTTCTCTTGCAGTGCGTCCCTTTTGTGATCGCTTGTTATTTCCTGTTGTCTCTCGTTCCTGAGCAGTGAGTCCAGATTGGTGTCCTGCTCACTCTCATCTGGTGTGGTTCTTGGTATGGCACCTCCCGGTGTCAGTTGTGCAGCCATTTGCCTGGCTGGTGTTTATTCTGTTCTTCTTTGCAGAATAAACAGCTTGTTCAGTCATTATTCAGAGTTATGGGTAACGATCCTCTGCTACCATTTTGTTAGGTTGATGGATCTAACCCAATAACTCACAAGACAAAAAGATATCTTCTATTAATTCTTTTATTGCAGGCCTGAACTAATCTTAGCTTGTTCAGTTAGTAGCAACTGACCTTTGTCCTTCTCTTACAGGTACATATCTGGAACTGCTGGATGGCCTCGTGGTGTGACCTCTTATACCCAAGGGGAGGAGTTAGAGGTAAGGTGGGATTGTGGGCGTAATGGGATATGTGGTAGTGTTAACCCTTGCAGGGCTGTGAGGAATTGGGATATAAGTAAGTTAGACATTTTACGTGACATTCAAGAAGACACTGGACCTCAATCTGTCAGAAATGGTGTAGGGTCTGCTTGGACTAGATGACCTACAAGGTCCCTTCCAACTCTGTTAATCTGTATCTATCTATACTATTCCAGACAAGTGGCTGTCCAGTCTCTTCTTAAAAGCCTCCAGTGATGGACCACCCACAATTTCTGAAGGGAGATGTTCCATTCCTCACCATTAGGAAATTTCTCCTTAGATCTAGGTTGTTTCTCTCCTTGATTAGTTTCCATCCATTGTTTCTTGTCTTGCCTTCTAGTACTCCGGACAATAGGTGGAGCTCCTGTTCTCTGTGGCAGCCCCCCAATTTTTGGTACATTTCAAAAGAGAAATTCACGTCTGGTTATATTATAAATTAAGAAATCAAATTGAAACAGATTTGGAAAAATGGAAAAATTTACAATTATCTTTAATGGGGAGAATAGTGTTAATCAAAATGAATGTATTGCCAAGATTGTTGTTTCTTTTTCAAACAATTCCGATAAAGTTGGAGAAAAAAATACTTTGAAAGTTTGAATAAAATGATGTAAATATATGTGGCAAGGGAAAAAAGCGAGATTAACCTTAAATTGCTTCAAGACTCCAGGTTTAGAGGAGGATTTGGTCTACCAAATTGGGAATTGTATCATCAAGCGGCGATGTTAACATGGATTAAAGAATGGATCGTATTGAGAAATACAAAACTATTGACTTTGGAAGGACGTGACCTACAACTAGGATGGCATGCTTATGGTATGGAAAAAATCGGGTTCATGGATATTTCCAGAGACATTGTGTAAGGAATGGCTTGTTGGTAGTTTGGGAAAGAGTGAAAGAAAAACATTATATGGAAGTACCAATGTGGCTTTCAATAATAGAAGCGTTGACACATCCAAATATGATTAACATGGACAAGATTGTAAGATATAAAGACATTTTAACAGAGAAGAGAGAATTAAAACAGAAACACGACTTAGAAAAACAAGGGATTGAGACTGACTGGTATACACGCCTGCAGATACAATCAAGATATGATAAAGACTTGAAACAATATGGTTTTAATTTGGGGGAATCAGAGTTGGAGCAGATAATGACTGGAAAGGATGAAAAAATGATTAAAAGACTGCATAATTATTTGTTGCAAATTAGATTGGAAGATGAAGAGGTAAAAATGACAATGATAACATGGGCGAAAAATTTTGGATATGCAATAGAATTAGAGAAATGGCAACAACTATGGGAAAGGAAATATAAATTGACAATAGCAACTGCATATAAAGAAAATCTATATAAAATGTTTTATAGATGGCATATGCCAGCAGAAAGATTAGCAAAGATGTTTAAGGATAAATCAGCCAAATGTTGGAAATGTTTGCATTTGCTGGGATCATACTATCATTTGTGGTGGTCATGTTTAGAAGCAAAAAATAATTGGTTTAGAATACAGAAATGGTTATATTAGAAGAAATATTACATAAATCTATAGAATTAAAAGCAGAGGGTTTTTTATTGGGTATTCTCCCAGAGAGATATAGTAAGGAAGATGTGTATTTAACTATACATATAATAACAGCAGCAAGAATTGTGTTTGCACAAAATTGGAAGACAGAAAAAATTCCGTCAGAAGGTGAAGTAATAAAAAAGATTTTTGACGGTGCAGAAATGAATAGATTAACTAAGAATAAGAGATAAAGAGGAATCAGTGTATTTCAAGACATGGGGAAGATTTTATATATGGTTAGAAAAGAAATATGAAGATAAGAGGATGAATGATTTAGATAATAGAAAGTTAAATGAGGGAGAGGATAAAAAAGAGATAGAAACCCAGATGACACCAGAGTAAATGAAAAAGGGGGGTGGGAGGGGGGAAAAGAAAGAAGATTATAAGAATAAGTGTACAATTATGATGATAAACACTGATAGAATAAATCTGAAAAGAATTTGAAAGAAAGTATATACTATTAGAATACAGGAGTTGTTTGGATACCAAAGAAGGAGACTATTCAACATCAAAGAAGATAGAAAGGAGAGAGTAGTAGAGGGTAGGAAGAGGAGAGGGAGGGAGAGGAATAGAAGAAAAGGAAAAGGAGAGGAAGGAAGGGGAGGGGATAGGAGTAGGAGAGAAGGTGAGTAGGGGGAAAAGAAGAGAGGAGTGGGGGAAAGGAAGGGGAAGAGGAGAAGAAGAAGAAGGGTTGAGGGAAGAAAGGATAGAAGAGCAACTCTGAATGTAATTAAAATGCCTTATTTTAATGCTTTATTTAAGGAAAACATGTATATGTAGGATTAATTATGTATAAGAAAATGTACATTTTATGTTACGCGTATAAGAAATAAAGCTGAAAAACTTTTCCAAATTTCTTTTTGGTACATTGCTATTATTTCACCCCAGTCCTTTTCACTAGACTAGACATACTGAATTCCTGCAACTGTTCCTCATAAGTTTTAGTCTCCAGGCCTTTAATCATCTTTTCTGCACTTTTTCCAGAGTCTCTACATCTTTTTTATAATATGGTGGCCAAAACTGGATGCACTATTCCAAGTGTGGTCTTGCCAAGGCATTATAAAGCGGTACCAATACTTCATGTGATCTTGATTTTATCCCTCTGTTAACACAGCCTAGGACTGAATTAGCTTTTTTGGCTGCTGCCACATGTAGGGATGGAAGAATTAATTTGGGCAGAATGCAGCAAACTGCTTCCGTTTCTGGTGTCATGTGTCTGGATGATCTCATTCTGGCTCTGGTCTGTGTTATCTGACCTTCCTTCTGAGTGGGGGAACAGGGAGGAGGATTTTCCAATTAGAACGCTGTTGCTGTCCTGCCTTTTATCTGCCTGTGTAAAACTGTATAAAAAAATAAAGCTCTCTGCGAGAGCAGGAGAAACATCTTTGATCAGAGCAAATGCCTGGCCTCTGATTTTCTACAGCCACATATTGCTGGCTCATACTTAAGTGATTGTCCACTAGGACTCCAAGATCCCTCTCACAGTTACTGCTATGGAGCCAGGTTTCACCTCATCTGTAAGCGTACATTTGGATTTTCTAGCCTAAGTGTAAAACCTTACTTTTCTCTACAATGAATTTCATTTAGTTAAATAAGCCCAGGATTCAAGTCTATCTCGATCTATCTGGATCTTTAGCCTATCTTCTGTGGTGTTGGCTATTCCTGCCACTTTAGTGTCATGTGCAAATTTGATGATTTCCCCATTTCTCCCCTCATCCAAATCATTCATGAAGACGTTGAAGAGAACTGGGCCTAAAATGGAACCTTGGGGTCCCCCACTGCTTGTTTCCCTCCGTGCAGACGTAGTTCCATTGAGGACCACAGGCTGAGCCCATCTGGGGGTGATGTTGTCTATCCTACATATTTTTAGCTTCCCGAGAAATTGGTTGTGGTTTCCTTTGTCAAAGCCTTTCTGAAATCCAAGTACTGTATACTACGTGCACTGCATTTCATTTGTCCACTAATTTTTGTCAAAGAATGAAATAACATTTATTTATGATTTGTTTTTTGACCCTGCATTAGTCTTAGTAAGTCATTCTCATGTATACTGAAGAACAAGGGTTCAAATATGCATCTTTCTCTTCCCCCTTGGTAAGCATAGATCCATTGAGCCCAAACCTCCCTCTTAAACAAGGGTTTGGATCAGGGCCAACAGGCTGAGCTCCATTTTGAGGGCAAAACATTTTCTCCATATTTCTCTGTTTATTGAGTCAAATGCTGCACTAAGGTTTGAAAGCCTGCAAACCTTATTTTACCTTAATGATATAGATTAGACATTTCAAGACAAATTTGTTGTCAATATTAGATTATTAACTTATGCCTTATTTCTTATAAAATCTATATAGCTTTTAATTCTACCTAAAACATTCTGGTTCTTCTGCAAGGAATACATTTTTCTCAGGTTTCTCTAAGAGGGTCATGGCATGAATTTTAGCCCCAATATCTACTAGTCTATTTGGCCTGTAATTGCTAGAGTCCTTTTTATTCCACATTCTAGATGGATAAAATGCTACTATTGCCAACTTCAATCCAACTGGATAGGGCTGACATTATTTATCTGTGAAAATGAAGATGCCAATAGAGGCCCCAACAACCAGGGATATGTTTTGATCAGTTAAATAGTTGTTAGAATATCTTCTCCAGGGAATGTATTGGTTGCATTTCAGGCCTTTTATGATGAATCTCAACATACACATAATGGGGTAAAATATTGAATTTTTTGCTAATATGGAGAAAAGCAGCTCTTGAATTCCATGGAGAAGACATGATTGCATCTATTGCTCACCCACCACCACCCACCCCTCACTTTACCAGATGGAGAAAAACACACACAAACCTGCAGGATTTTGTAGGTGCCTCCTAATGTTGACATCTGGATGGAAATATCCCTGTCAGCTCTATTAATCAGAGCCAGGAGGTTGTCCTTCCTTCCACAGCTGTAGTTGGGGACATTGGCTTCTCCAGTGGAGAGCATGTCCAGCAAGGCATCTGAAGTGTGGAAAGTACTCAAATAGTTGTTATGGATGTTGTAGCCAAGTGTGAGATTGTGCAGGAGCTGGGAATTCTTGTTGACCGTTTGAATGTTGAAAATGAATAGTAAGCCATATGAAAAACCATAAAGATCCCTATTGTTAAAACATATTATTATAATCAAAAACAACAATAAATACTGTTTTTAATATATAATCCTTCAGAAGTCTACTGAGCCTTAAGATAACTTTGATCCAAAACCAGTGATCAGTTACACAAATATGGAAATGGACTGAGGTACAGCAACTACAACTGATTCCACCACTACTTTAAGGAAATCCATTATTTAAGTGATAAATTAAGGATCGGACTGAGAGAAGAAAATAATCTGGAGTCCTTTCAACTTTTTTTCAGACCCATTTTTAGATGTGAGTCTCTTTCACAAAATCAGACCAAAGAGAGAAGCCATGGAAATCAAAATCATTCAGGAAATTAGACATATTCCCCAATATAGGAATAAATGAAGCATAAAAAACAGAAAAGGAGAGTATTAGAATGGAGGGACTGCAACTCTATCACCCTGAATGACTTACGGATCATGGAAAACAAATTGAAGAGAAGGAGCCACGTTGAAAAGCAACTTTGTATGCAATATTTCATTTCCAGTGAGGACTATACTGATTAGATGGTCTCCTGGGCTGTAAAAGCTCTGTGGTTGTTTTCCATCCTGGTTCTCCAAACTCAGCGGGCATTTCATTCTCAGCTTCCCAGAGACTGAATGGGACAAAAGCAGCATCAGAAGCAGAAGCAGGAGGTCCATAATTCATGGGGTGAATCAATCAATCTCTTTCCTGTTTCTAAAGAAGAATTAGAAGAATTCAAAGGACTCTCATAAGGTGGAATATGATCCAGTTGCTTTCCTTCTTCAAACACAGAGAAACACTCAGCTTCATCTGGATGGGAGAGAGACGTAGATTCAAGAGCACAGACTCTGCCTGTCCCAAAACTCCATATTCCTCTGCCCAAAGTCTCCCCTGGAGGATTCAGCCCAACAGCAGAGCTGAAACTTATATCATAATTCTCCCTCTCAGGAGGGATCCCTGGATAATTCAAGTAGTTCTTGGACTTGGAGATTGTTGGGAAATTCTCTGGAGGGAAATGAAAGGGAAATAATCTCCATGTGATTCATAATAACAGGGGCAGAGATGGAATTAAATTCCTCATCTAGAATTGAGAGGTTTGGTGTCTCCATGCTTGAAAGTGGCCCCGGGGGAAATGCACGGCACCTGTGGCTGAAGACACAAATAAATCTGAGATTTGTTTGCATAGTGATTAAAGAGAAAATCCCAGAGGCCAGTTAATGCCAGAGCCTGCCACAATAGCTACCAGCTGAGTTGGAACCAAAATTTACTTTATTTTGAAAGCTAATGCTCAAGGGCATCGCACAAAGGGGCTGATGCAATAGTGTGGCCAGACTCCAAGAACAAAATCAACTTTAATGAAAAACTAGTTTTTTGAACTTTGCAGAGTTAAAAAAATTCTAACTGTCTCTGCTAACTGCATAGCTGTGGCTGAGGATTATGGGAAACCTGGAACTTGGACTTGGAAAAAGATTCTTTAAAGCAAGCAGTGCCCATTATTTCTCCCAACGCTTGGCAGGAGAGAGAGCTGAAGCCAACCCAGTGAGGGTAATAACCACATTCCCCTTTTAAATGTGGCTTCATAAACACCCAGCAACTCCAGTACTCTTAGGCCTGGCCTAACTGGGAATTCTGGAAACCAGCATCCAAAAGCATCTGTGAGGTTCCAAGCAGGAGAAAGAGCATCAAAGTCACATGTTAATCTTCTGAACCAGGGGTGAAATGCTACTGGTTCGGACCGGTTCGGCTGAAATGGTAGCGGTGGCGGCGTGTGGTTCGGAGATGCGGTAATGGTGGCAGCACGAGGCTTTGCCCACCCACCTGAATGTCGTTACTTCCTGGTTTTAACCAGGAAGTAACCTGCTTTTGACCCTCTGTCCATGTGCAGGAGGCTTTGCGCATGTGCAGAGGGACCAAGCAGGCACGTGATGCATGCGTGCTCAGAGCGCTCGCTTCCGAACCGGTAGGGAAGGTAGGTAGATTTCACCCCTGCTCTGAACACCCATGGAGAGATCTCTGCAAGCCTCTGCCAAGCTTTGTCCGGACATTGTGGCAAATCACGGACCCCCTCCAGCCACAAAGATTCATTTTTGAATCGACCAGTTCGTTCTCACAGGGAGGGACTACTCAGGGTACCGTCAGTGAAATTATGCCGACTGCCGACTCCCAGGGGGAGGGCCTTCTCCGTGGGGGCTCCAACCCTTTGGAATGAACTGCCCCCGAAGATACGGAATATCCCTGATCTCCGTGCTTTCCGCCGTGCCCTCAAGACCCTGATGTTCCAACAGGCGGGGCTAAACATACGAACATGTGAATGATTTTTTTTTTAAATGTTATCTAATTCTGGGTTTTATTTAATTGACCAAACTAAGTAATAATTTTAATTAGCAATTTTATGATGTTTGTGTGTCTATATTTTTTTGACTGTACACCACCTTGAGTCCTACGGGAGAAAGGCGGTATAGAAATATAATAAATAAATAAATAAAATAAAATAAATTTTTGCCTCTCTCCCATTAGCCCAACTCTATTGCCTGAATGCCAAACCTGGAATTGGTTCACACAATGTGCTAAACAATGTTTTACAGTGGGTTGCGGAAGACCCCAAAGCCAAAAGCAGAACCTATAAAAAGTTTTCCATCCTGTGTGCAAACAGACTGCGTTGGCCATCATCCCATAGCTGGTTGCTGGTCAATCTAGGGGAGTTCATACAACACCCTTAATCCAGGTTCATGAAGGAGAACTGCTACGTTGGCATAATGGGCCATGGCAAAATGCATCAATCAGATGCCAGGTTAGCGTGATGACCTGCTTCACACATGGACACAGGATGGGGGAAGGTTCCCAGGCACCCAAATGTGTGAAACAGAGTCAACCTATTTCAAAATCTCAGTCCATATTTTCAGGGGCTTCATGGGCGACCAACCCAACTCCTTTGCGCCCCCAGACAAGATTCAGGACTGACTGTGGGCAATGCCCAGCTCAGGTGCACCCAGCTGTCATGGAAAGCCTGGAAACATCTGGATGCCCTTAACATGAGCTGTGAACTTGGCCCACTCAAGTCAGGCCAGGAAAGAGGGTTCCTTCCCAATCCAGGTTAAGGAGGCCACACCCTCCCATGATGGTTAAAGGCGTTTGGTCACTCAGCTCAGTTAATCAACCACCTGGTGAGACATTCAGAGGTCACTCCTGAAAGGGCTCCGCTGTGGGGTCCTGCAAAGGGGACGGAAGGGGTCAGAGCCGTGCTGGGCTTGGCTGAGGAGGGCCAGATCCAATCCTGATCCCCCAAGAGGCCTTGAAAGCCCAGTTTAATCTCCCAAGAAACTCTGCTCCTGCCTCAGCCGGCTATTCTGGCCAGGACCAAGCTGGTTCCTCTTCACACAACCTCTGACCCCTGGGGGAACAACACCCACCTGCCAGATCCAAAGCTAACAAACTTCGATCCCTCCACCCCACTTCCCCCACCTCAGCCCTTCCCTGCAAGGCCAGAGGGACCCCCCTTCATGGGGTGCCCCACTTCCCAGATAAGGAGGAAAAATAAGGTGACCAGATTTTAACATTGGTAAGAAGGGCACCATTGTGGGCGTGGCTTATTGTGTGGGCGTGGCTTAGAGGCCATGTGACTGGGCGGGCGTGGCTAGCTGGTCATGTGACTGGGTGGCCATGGCTATGAGTATAGGGACTACTCAGAGGGCTGAAAAGTCATTCACCATGGTGACAACATAGGGCAAAAACGTAAAATGTGAGGACAGTCATAAGTTCGAGGACTGGTCAAAAGTGCGAGGACCAGTCAAAAATAACTTTTTCAGCCCTCCGAGTAGTCCATATGCACAAAAGGACTAACCAGAGGGCTGAAAAAAGTCATTTCTGACAGGTCCTCGCACTTTTGACTGGTCCTCACACTTATGACCATCCTCACATTTATGCCCGTGCAGCATTCTTAACAACCATGTCACTCATTTCACAACTGCTTCTCTTCACCATGGTGACAAGATAGGGCAAAAACGTAAAATGTGAGGACAGTCGTAAGTTCGAGGACTGGTCAAAAGTGTGAGGACCAGTCAAAAATAACTTTTTCAGCCCTCTGAGTAGTCCATATGCATTAAAGGATTACAGCAATAGAGAGGGATGAAGGAATGGAAATTAGAGTAGGAGTGAGGGTAAGAGAGGGAGGAAGAGAGGAGGAGAAGGAGAAAGGAAGAGGAAGTAGGGAGGAGAAAAAGAGGGGGAGGAAGAGAAAGTAAGAAGGAAAGAAAAGAGAGAGGTGGTAGGTTTGAGGAGAAAGATTGCTATACAATAAAAAAGATGAAAGGGAAGAAAGCCAACCCCAAGCAAATATAAAGATATTAAGATAAAGAATGAATTGTTAAACTTTAAAGAATAAAAGAGAACAAATATGAATAAATAGCAATAATTAGAAACACACATACAAACATACAATGTGTTTTCTTTGAACAGAATATTTGGCAGGTTCACAAATTTAAACAGTGTTTAGTCATTTCAATTTAATTTACAATTTCTATATTTCCTTTTTGCCATATTTATTCCTCATCTCTTTTTTTAAAAAAACAATATTACCCTTCATCCTCATCTCTAATCTTAATCAAATTCAATTTTTCCCTTCTATTCTATATTATACCCCTTCCCATTGTCATCTATTTTTATATCCATCCTCACATTGTTTAATTATGTAATTATGTAATACAGTTGTTTAATACAAATTCAACATTTTAATATAAATCAATTAGTTATAAAACTATCTTTTTTGTATATTAATCAATATGAACATGAATATTCCAATTATTTCCATGCAATCCAATTTCTTACAAATCAATTAATTATATTTACCAATAATAATAAACCAAATAATTTCTCCCATATATTCCTCTGAACCACAACTTAACCATTTCTGCTTTCAACACAATATACAATTAATAGTATCTCAATTATTACAATTCCCTAGTTAAATACAGCTTTTTTTTCTTTTGTGTTTTAAAATCTTGAACTCTCCTCCTAAATTTCCCATTGTTTGCAGTTTTTCACCTACCTTTTTTGGGGAGGAAAAATAAAAATAAAAATAAATCTCTCTGCCTCATTTTGTCACGTTGCACCAAAGATCCTGGTTTCGGTTTCGTTTCTGCAGCTTAGCTAGGGGAAAAAAAAAACTGCTTCAGGAACTCTTTACACTGATTGCCTGTAGGGCGGCCCTTTGAAGCCCCGGGCAAGAGTTTAAACAGTTTTTTTTTCTTCTAGCCATCAGCTGGGGCTCAAGAGGCAGCGGGACTCAGGAGGCAGAGTGAAAAATCGGGACTTTTTTGAAACGCCGCGGGATGCGGGACAAATTGCTAAAAAGCGGGACTGTCCCGCCAAAAGCGGGACGTCTGGTCACCTTAAGGAAAAAGCATCTGGCTGCCCCAGGGGGAAATTGGCAGCTGACTGCATTTCCCCACTAGACCCCACCAGCCCTACCTGGCCTGCAAGTGCCCAGGGCTCACCTGGGAGGGCCACCTGTCCCCACCTGTGACGTCAGAGTCCCTCTCCCTCCCAGACAACCCCAAGGAGGGCCCCTCCCTCAGAGGAGAGCTTTCCGACAGCACCTGAGCTGCCCAGACCAGATGGGGTGGGGGGCTCCCCCTGCCTCCCTCTCCCCCAGCACCCCTCCCTCACCAAGGAGGGGGGAGGACCTCCTAAAGACCCCTTGGCCCTGCAGGACCCCTGCTTGCCCCCTCCTCACAGCACAGCCACCTGCAAAACTCTGTCCAAATTCACCCCCTTGGAGGCCGCTCGACTGGCAAGGAGGAAGCCAGGCGCAGGGAGGCCCCTCAGCCTCAGCCAGCTGGGTGTGGAGGTGGTAAGAAAGCCCCCAGGTGAAGCTGCTCCTGAGATCTCGGCAAGGTTGCTCAGAAGTGGTTGCCATTGCCACTTTCCCAGGGCTCTGAGAGAGTGGCTGGCCCAGAGTCTCCGAGCTGGCTTGGTGCCCAAGGCAAGACTAGAACTCAGGGTCCCCTGGGATTTAACAACCATCACACCCAACTGACTCTGGGTGAGATCCATGCAACCCACTTAACCCGGTCCCTTCCCCTATGGCCACGTTCACATTTGCAATTTTTAACCATGGTTTGTTTCCTGAGGCTGAACCTGTTGGCCGAGGAGTCGGTGGATTATGGGAACTCCGAAGGATCTTAATTCATTGGAGAGAAGCTGAACAAGAGGATACACAGGCAGTCCTCGACTTACAACAGTTCATTTAGTGACCGTTCAAAGTTACAACAGCCCTGAAAAATGTGAGTTATGACCATTTTCCACAGTTATGACCTTTGCAGCATCCCCAGGGTCACGTGGTCAGAATCCAGATGTTTGGCCACTGATTCATGTTTATGACCATTACGGCTGTGTCCCAGGGTCACATGATCCCCTTTTGCGACCGTCTCATGAGCAAAGTCAATGGGGAAACCAGATTCACTTAACAACTGGGCTATTAATTTAAGAACTGTAGTGATTCACTTAACGACTGTGGCAAGAAAGGTCATAAAATGGGGCAAAACTCATTTAACAGATGTCTCACTTAACAACAGAAATGTTGGGCTCAATTGTGGTCGTAAGTCAAGGACTACCTGTATCGGGGGCACTTTTCTTCTCGCAAGGACCACGTTCACACCACACACTTGAGACCAGGCCGGGGTCCTCGCAGCCCCCCTGAGACAAACCAGAGGTCCACGTGGAGCCTCCTCGAAGCCCATAAGAAACTCTGGACGACAACAGCCCCCCCCTCCCCCTCCTCCTCTGGGCCTCCCCTGGGACAAAGTCAGGCATTGGGGTGGGCTCATTCCTGACCGAGAAGGGGCTTCCTCCCCTCTGGGCAGAACCCGGCTTCGGTAAGACATGGCTGGGAACATCCTGGAGGGGAACAGAGTCTAATGGCACATCAACCTGGCATTGAAAAACCACAGCTTGAACCCGGAGCCACCCAGGATCTGGCCTGCAGGCCCTGAGAGCGGAATCTGAGGGACGTTGAGTGGGAGAACTTCCAAGTGGTGGACGTGGGATATGGGCCCTCCTCTCTTCTTCCCTGTCAGGATGGACCCGCCTGTCCCTTCAGTCCCCACCTCTCACTCAGCCCCCCAGTTCCCCCTTCTAGGCCAGGAAGTCCATATTAATGTCCCCTCACCCCCAGTGAAGACACCCGATCCCTGAACAATCGATCCAAAGAAAGCAGGAAGGAAGGAGTTCCAACAGCCCCTTCAAACCCCTCGGAGGATTTTGGGTATAGAAAGTCTCAGCCTCAGAGATGGGAAGGTCAAATGGGTCCCTCCCCCCCCCCAAGTACATCCCCACAACAGTGGAAGCCCCACCAGATCTCCAAAAATCATGTTGCTAGAAATCAGGTTGCACCAACCACCACACTGTGGGCCTCACCACCATCTTTGTAGATGATAAGATGGGTGGCCAATAAATTCAATAATTAGATAGATAGATAGGTGATAAATCTCAGCTGCAGACCTTACAGTCCATTCTTTATTTAATAAACTAAGAAAGGTCAAAATATAAAGAATCTTAGTGCATTATATGAACCTGGAAATGACAAGAAAAAAAAAAAAAACTTCCATCCACTTTATAATTTTCTGCCTATTTACCCAACAATATACTCCACAAGTTGTCACTTTCCTGCTTCTTAATGAGCTGTTATCCAAAATTTAATATTGCTAGAAAAAGATGGGAAATGAGCAATTTTAAAGTCAGCTGCAATGAGGATCGCTATATGGGATTCTGATATAAAACAGAATTCCAAACAGGCCCTGCTCTTAACCTTGGGCAGAGTTGAAGGGCACTGATGGCCTCCTTGGCATTAGAAGACAGGCAACAGGAGAGTTCAACGGCATTGACTTCGAGTGGCCCCAAACTCCATAACTCTGGGTGAGCTTCCCAGCAATCTCTGGAGAAAAAGAGGCCACGTTGGAGGACAGCAGAAGTCAATTGTCTCCTCTATTGAACTATCTTCCCCAGCATCACTTTCTGGACCACAACAGAACAGGGTCCCCAGGGCTGTATCTGTAATTTTTCACTAATCTACTTTTCTCCAGCCTCTCCTCTGCACATGGAGCCCTAAAAAGTTTAGGATCCCAAGAGGAAAAGTTGCTTCTCACTGAAGCCAAATTGATTTAATTATTTTTAAATTATTTTAATTTTCATATTGTATGTATTTTAATCTTGGCTGTTCACTGCCCTGAGTCCTTCGGGAGAAGGGCGGTATAAAAATTTAATAAACGAAATGAAATGAAATGTAATGTAATTATGACCATCTGGGCCTTTGAGACCTGTGATGCCATTTCTCCAGTTGTTGACATTGATGTAGACATCAGATTGAAGCCACATGCAAAGGATCTTGCATCAGAAAAGGATAAATTCCCTGATTCAAGCTCTCTGGAAACACATTTTGGGACAGGTAGAGGCTCTGCTCTTGATCGTACCTCTTCTCTCCTTTCCAGGTGAAGCTGAGTGGTTCTCTGTTTATATCAGGAAAGTCGCTGGCACTTCTGAGAGTCTTTGCATTTCCCCAACTGTTCCTGTTCTTTGTGCTAGAAACAGGAAGTGGATTGATTCACCTTATGAATGATGGACCTCCTGCTTCTGCTTCTGATGCTGCTGGTGTCCCATCCAGTCTCTGGGAAGCTTCGAATGAAATGCCCTCTGAATTTGGAGCACCAGGATGGAAAAAGGCTATGGAGCTTTTACAGGCCAGGAGACCATCTCATTGGTATAGTCACAACTGCAAAAGAAATATCACATATAAAGTTGCCTTTCAACATGGCTCCCCCTGTTCAAACTAATTCGTAAGTCATTCAGGTTGATGGAGTTGCATTCCCTCCATTTTCTAATTCTAACGTTCTCCTTCTTTTCTTCTTATTTCACTTACTTTTATACCACAGGACCGGTCTAATTTCCTGAATGATTTTGATTTCCATGGCTTCCCTCTTTTGTCTAATTTTGTGGAAGAGACTGAAATCCAAAAATGGGGTTGATAAAAAAAAATTGAAGGAAATGCAGATTATTTTCCCTTCCCAGTTCAATCCTGAGTTCATCCCTTGAATACTGAACTTTGTTTAAGTAGTGATTGAAATAATTGTAGTTCCCTCTCCTCAGCGCACTTCCATATTTGTGTAATTGATCATTGGTTTTCAATCATTCTTGGCCTAAGGCTCAGTAGGCTTGTGGAGGATTATATATTAAAAAAGTAAAGACTAAAATAACATGAACATTGTTTTACAATAGGGATCGTTATGCTATTCACAATGTCCTACAGTTACTTTTCACCATTCAAGTGGTCAACAAGAATCCCCAGCTCCTGCACAATCTCACACTTGGCTACAACATCCATGACAACTATCTGAACACATTTGGCACTTCAGATGCCTTGGTGGACATTCTCTCCACTGGAGAAGCCAATGTCCCCAACTACGGCTGTGGAAGGAAGGACAACATTCTGGCTCTTCTTGATGGAGCTAAAAGGGACATCTCCATCCAGATGTCAACATTAACAGACACCTACAAAGTCCCACAGGTTTGTGTGTGTTTTTCTCTCTCTGGTAAAGTGTGTGTGGTGGTGGTGGATGAGCAATAGGTGCAATATCTTCTGGAATTCATGAGGTGTTTTTCAGAATATTAGTGAACATGTCAACTATGTTTTAGTCTACTATGTTCATGTTCAAATTCACCATTAAAGGCCTGAAGAGCCATAAGGTCCCTGTAGAGGATATTCTACTGAATATCTGACTATTTAAAAAAAATATCCAGGTTTTGAGGTCCTCCTAAATTAACATGTTCATTTTCACATATCAGTAATATCTGCCTTATCCAAGTGGATTCACGTTGTCAATAGTCCTGTCTATACATATAAAAAATGGAATGAAAAGGTCTCTAGCAATTGCAGGCCAGTTCCTCTAATCTAAGAGATCCTGCGGCTAAAATATATGTCATATTCCTCTTAGGTAAATTTGAGAGAGGGTAGAACAAAAGTCCCTTACTTGCAGAAGAACAAGAAGGTTTTAGGTAGAGTTAAAAGGTATATAATTTTTTATAATAAATAATGCACAAATTAAAATTTGGCTTGAAATATCTAATCACAAAATATGTCAACTGGGTAAACCATGGTTGTTTGGCTTTACAGATGATAGTGCAGCTTTTGGCACAGTGAAAGGAGAAATATTTTGGGAGAAATTGATTGCCCTTAAAATGGAGCTCAGACTGTTGGCCCTGATCCAAGGCCTTTCTCCAGGTCCTTGTTTGAGAGGGAGGTTGGGGCTCAATGGAGCCATGAGAAGAAGGATCGATACTTACCAAGGAGGAAGAGAAGGGTGCATATTTGAACCCTTGTTATTCAGTCTAGATATTAATGACTTGCCTGCACTAATGAAGGATCCTGAAGTACATATGTCTATGGCAGGTGTCAGCAACCTGCGGCTCCAGAGCTGCATGTAGCTCTTTGGGCCCACTGCTGTGGGTCCCTGTCGGGTGATCCCACCACTGCCTGGCCCTGCCCCTCGCCCTCCCCGCCCCCACATCACTCCTCGCCTGGCCTGAGAAGGTAAGGGCAACAGCAGGGGATGGAGAAGTGGCCAGGGCAGAGACAGAGAGATACAGAGAGAGGGGGAGAGAGAGAGAGAGAGAGAGGTCAAAAGGGTTTTGTGGTTTCCAGTGTTTTTTAACAATTGGTTCTCTGCCCTAATGACCATCTGGGTAGGCATGACTAGGGGGTCATGTGACTGATGGAAGTGAGTGAGGTTGAGTTGGCCATGCCTACTCAGGTTTTGTGGCTCCCGGTGTTTTCTTTTCTGTGGGAAATGGGTCCAAATGGCTGTTTGAGTGTTTAAGGTTGCAGACCCCTGGTCTATGGTAATAAATACATATCGAAACACCCTGATAATGTGATATTATTATCATATTCATAATTTGGATTTTGTAGGCTATTAAGAAAATCTGGTGCTTTCTGTCATAGTAATTGTCTGATTATTAATAAATCAAATTGAAAATTTATGGTCTTTGGAAAAGAACATCATAGCCATAGATGCCTATTTGATGGTAATCCAGGAGAGCAAGTAACACCTTTCCTTACCTGGGTTAGTGTTCTCTGAGACTGAATCTTGGATCCCTCATCATCAAAGGAGCTCAGTTAGAGCCCAGACAAGAGTGAATCTAGAGCTAAAATTTAAAAAATCATAGGTCTCCATCCAGCTTCCTTATCCCCAATTATTAAAGAAAATAAAGCCAAGGTAACCCATGAATTCTTATATCAGGCTGATGTTTGGCATTTAATAAATGTCACTAATGGAAAAACTGAATCACAGCATCTGAGGAGAATCTTTGAGGTGGATAAAAAGACTTCAGTTGCTGCCCTTGGAGATGAATTGTGAATTTACATAATTTCTTCTTTGTATAAATTCAAGGTTTATAACTATTTATTTAAAATAAAACCTATTAAAACTGGCAGTCTCCCAAAATTGTGTCTGTTAAAACAGAGAAATTTTCAATTAAAGACTTCTTGGATTGTACAACTGACAATTTGTATTAGGAGTTGTGGATTTGTCAATAACCAATATTTTGGAGTTGATCCAAATAACAGAGCATTCTTCTGTACCTTTTTAGATCAGTATTGAAATTGCTTCAGGGGCTCTGAGTGATAAAAGTCAATTCCCCTTTTTCCACCTGATGGAACCCAAAGAAGGATTCCACTATCCAGCAATTGTCCAACTGCTCCTCCATTTCAGATGGACCTTAATTGGTCTCTTTGCTTCAGACACAGAGAGGGGAGAATATTTCATGAGGACTTTCCCTCCTATGCTTGTTAGGAATGGAATATGTGTGGTTATATCACAACGATTCTCAACAAGTGGACATGCAGCACCCCTCAGGGAGGCCCTCTCTAAGTGGAGACAAGTCAACGTCTTTATTCACTTCATAGAATTTGTTTCCCTTAGAGAAAGAATTCTTCCTTTCCATTTAGCACTTATGCGTTTTCCAGGACCCATTGAAGGGAAAGTCTGGATCATCACAAATTTTGGAGTGTACAATATAAAAAAGCACAGACTTCTCAAATACATCCATAGTATTTGGAACTTTGCTTTTCTGGCAAAAGAAAGACCAAAGGATGATGCCTTTGAACCCTATTTCTTTGTGGAAAATGGATCTGAAGGTCAATATTTTCGTTGTTCTCTTTCAAAGCCCGTCTTTTCTGTCAAAGGCCGCAAAAGATGCATCCAAATAGCCCCACTGGAGACCCAAAGGAAAAGGAAGAGCTTCCAGATCCCAATTTACCTCCATGCTTATAGTATCATGAAGACTCTGGCCCAGGCCTTGAATGCTGCCTATTCCTCCAGAATGAGAAGGAGAAGGAAGAAGAGAGAAAAGATCTTGGGGGCTCTAAGGCTGCAGCCGTGGCAGGTATGGGGTCTCAATATGGATCCATTTTTTTTTAATATACTTTATTAAATTTTGTCATTATAAAAGAAAATATACAATCTCTATGTCCTTCAGAGGTACAGTGTTTATACAATTTACGGAGTCATACGATAAATAAACTTCATCTTTGTCTATTCAATATTCTATACAATATAGGTCGTATTTCAAGTACATAACAAGTCATATCCTGAAATCATGTTTTTGTCTTATTCTTCAACCAATTGTACCAATTTCCCCATACTTCATAATGTTTAGATTTCTCCTCATCGTTTATCTCACTCGTCAATTTTGCCATTTCTGCGCACTCTAGGATTTTGTTTATTAGTATTTCTTCTGTGGGTATGGATTTGTTTTTCCAGTATTTTGCAAAAGCTAATCTAGCCGCAATTGTAATCTGGATTATGAGTTGGGTTTTGTTGTTATTAAAGCCGTCTCCAATTATACCCAGGAGGAAGATTTCTGGAGATAGAACTATCTCCTGTCCCGTTATTTCACAAAGCCAATATCGAATTTTTGACCAAAACCTTTTGGTCTCTGGACAGGTCCATCATAGATGATAGAAGGTGCCGACCATTTTTCCACATTTCCAACACGAAGCTGAGAGATTAGGAAACATTTTTGCTAATCTAGCTGGTGCTAAATACCACCTGTGTAACATTTTATAATTATTTTCTCTAAATGTTGCCGATTTTGTCATTTTATAGTTTCTATTCCAGGCCATCTCCCAGTCACTGAAATTTAGTCTGTATCCCAGATTTTTTCCCCAAATATTTAGCTGGTTTTTTGCTATGGTCTCTGCCCTATCCTCATCTAATAAGAAATTATATATTTTTGCTAACATTTTCTTGTCTATTCCCCAAATAATTTTATTAAAATTTCCATATTTAACTTCTATGCCAAATTTGTCTCTATCTTTTTGGAATCTTGAATTAATCTGCAGATAATTCCACCAATCCAGGTTGAAACCCTGGTCCCTCAATAAATCCAAAGGTTTGAGTTTCCCCTTTTCATCAAGGATGTCCTTATATGTGCCTAATTTATACTCGTCTCTCCTGTTTGGGGCCGCCAGCGCTTCCATAATAGAAAGCCAGTTGGGTACCTTAGTATAAATCCTCTGTCTAATTTCCTCCCACGTGCGAATAAGAGTCTCCCTAATTTTGTGCTTATGAAAGTAGGATTTTTTCCTGTTCTTTGTGTCCCAGAGGTGGGCATGTCATCCTTCTAATAGGTCATGTCCTTCTAATGTCAGGATTCTCCTATTTCGTAACTTGATCCACTCCTTGATCCAAATTATTTTTGCCGCCTTTTGGTATATTTCCCAATCAGGGAGCCCGAACCCTCCCAAATTTCTTTTCCCTTGGAGTATCTTAAAGGAGATCCTCGATTTCTTACCGTCCCATAGGAAATTTCTAATATGTTTGTTCCAGTCCAGAAAGAATTTTTTATCTAAGGTTATCGGAATGTTTTGAAATAGGAACAGAATTTTAGGTAAGATGTTCATTTTAATCGCTGCTATTTTACCAATCAGAGACAATTTTAGCCTTTTCCATCTTTCAAGGTCTTGATATATTTTCTGCAGTAGGGAGATATAATTATCTTCTTTTAATGAGGAGAGTCTCGCAGTGATCCATATTCCCAAATATTTTATTTTCTTAACTGCCTGGAGGCCTAATAAGTCTTCCAATTCCTTCTTTTGTGGATCTGTCATATTTTTCACTATTATTTTAGTTTTTTTCCTATTAAGTTTAAGGCCCGCCACTTCTCCATAATCCTGTATTTCCTGCATTAGTTTTAAACCAGTTTCTAGTGGATCTTCTATTATGAGGGCTATGTCGTCCGCAAAAGCTTGGGTTTTAAATATTTCCTTCCTGACCTTTAATCCTTTAATTTCTTTATTGGCTCTGATCTTTCTAAGTAGCACCTCTAGCGCCAGAATATAAAGTAGGGGAGATAGGGGGCATCCCTGCCTCACTCCTTTTTGGATCTGAAATACCTGAGTTTTATCTCCATTCACTAATATATTTGCCCTCTGTTTATGGTAGATGATCTCTATCATCTTCCTAAAATTCATCCCGAATCCCATTAGGTCAATTTGATTAATCATAA